AGGTACAAGTGTGTCTGGATTCGTGTCTACATTTGTATGTCTGAATATTTGGGATTGTTATCATTGTATATGAATAGACAGATAGAGATATAGATACAGATATATGTATACACACATACACACACACACACACACACACACACGCGCACACACACATACACACACACACACACACACACACACACACACACACACACACACACACACCACACACACACACACACACACACACACACACATATATATATATATTTTATATTTTTTTTTTTTTTTTTTTATATTATCACACTCAAAATGCAATTTAGAGGCGCCGCCCCGAAAAGGTGACGCACGTACCTACGCCCGCTATATTTAAAGGAATGCGATCTCAAAACCGTTCCCAATCCCTCTATCGGCTAATAGTAGCTCAATCATCTCCCTAACCCATTCGTTGTTTAGGGGTGTTTAAGGGGTCTATATGGGGTATACGAGTAAAACCATATCCATTCTCATTTACTCTGTAATAGCTTTCCATGGCACCTGGATCACCTCTGTAACCCTTGCTGTTGTGTATTTAAGGGGTCTATAAGAGGTATGAAAGTTTTCATACCGTACCCAGTCTAATTTAGTAATCTACTCTGTGACAGGTTTCCATAGCAGCCTAAATAAACCTGCAACCATGTACTGTTGCTTTAATTTAAGCGGTATTTTAGGGGGTTTTCAAGTCCTGACCCCTTATAGGGACCCCTTCTCGGAATGCCACATAGCCTAAGCCACTCAGGACCTCGAGACCTTTCTAACGTGCCCAAGAACTCCCCCCAACTCCTTGTGGTTGCTGAGTAAAAAAGTGAACTTAAGTAGGTCTCTGGTTATGGTTTATGGTTTTACGGTATGAAAGTTGTTAATTTATAGCCCTGTGGCCGGCCCCTTGTTTTCGGTTCAGTTGGATGGGGATTGATTGTTTGTTTGTCTTTTTCAGGCCAGAGCCCGAATCCATGCATATACATTTCTGTGTGTGTGTCAGAGAGAGAGAGAAGGAGAAAGAGAGAGAGAGATGGGGGGGGGGGAGAGAGTGTGTGTGTGTGTGTGTGTGTTTGTACGTGTGTTCATATAAGGTATGCCCAGTCTGGTACTGTCCTTATCGATTCTCTACCAAGTTCTTCACATATTTCAGGAGTGCATCATTCAAGGGCAGCATCAAGATCCGCGCAATGGCCCTTAAATACAGTATCATATCTTTGTCTCGGTCGTGCTTTAGTGAATTGTGCTTCGGTCCAAGTCTGGAATGTGATTCAGGACTTTATATCATTGTTCGTATTACCTTTTTAAGAGTGTATCTGGCACGTACGATGTCCAACCCAAGGTCACTGTCGGGTTGTGTTAATCAGCCTGCCTGCTAGTTCTAGGAGCGAGTGACTCTACTGATATTCCAGTTGTTACCTTTCACGAGCAATTTGATTTCATATATCACATTTCTCTCTGTCAATAGCAAGTGGCGTTAAATAGGAGGGGCACTTCCCCCCTCCCTACAACATGTTTTGCACTTCCTAAGGACTAATAGGATAATCTGTTATTAGTCCTGATTTTTTCCTTGATTACATCTATATATCTCTGGTTATAGCTCAAAATGCCCTTAAATAGCTCACAGCTGATTGTCTTTTGTGGTTTTGAATATTGAAGCTATGACAATCTTCCCTTCCCCCCCCCCCCCAGAAAAAAGATAATATAAATTTCTGAAACACTTGAAGACTGGGGTTCGACTTTATCTGCGTTTTACAACTTAGAGTTCAATCTCAGGGGCACTTCCACCCTCCCTACATGTTTTGCAAGGGAAAAGGAAAACTGGCAACTCACCCAGACTATGGCTCATTCCGATTCACCTTCTCTCTTCTATCCTAATCATTTGAATTTGATATTTCTGTTTAAATGTGTTTGGAATAATAATAATGATTATCATAGTAATAATAATAATAATAATAACCATATTACTTTTTTCTCTCAAAAGATTCATCTCGAGTCAGAGTACTCCAGAGGTCGGGTTGTGTTGCCACCTTTTTCTTTTCTGAGATTTTTTTGACGAAGGAACAATACGGTTGTGCATTGGCATTGTGATATAAATTGCAATGTAACTAAACATTTAACAATAATTATACAATTAATTTCACAGACGGGAAGGCTAAGTTATCTAAGATTATTTTAATTGATTCTCCTATTTTTCTGAAGCCCGTCAAAAAAAATATTTTACAATTAAACAGAACTCTCTGCTATATTCTCGTCTGGAATTGCGAGAAGACTCAATGGATCTGCTTGCGCAATTTTTATCTTGACATTTCCATGGAACGATTATTGTCGTTTTTCTAGATTCCTTGTTTTCTTATTATTTTTATTTTTCTGGACCTAACGCGTCATTTTTATCTTGACATTTCTGTGGAACGATTATTGCTTTGCTTTTCCAGGTTCCTTTCTCTCTCTCTCTCTCTCTCTCTCTCTCTCTCTCTCTCTCTCTCTCTCTCTCTCTCTCTCTCTCTCTCTCTCTCTCTCTCTCTCTCTCTTTTTTTTTCATTTTTTTTTTTTCTAGTTTTCGATGGTTCTCGTTCTACTGGGGGAGGGGGGTTCTATCTATCGATTATGGCGTCTCTCAGGGTCTGTCTCTGTCTCCTACTCCACTATTAACGTGGACTAATTATTTTGTTCATTCTACAATTCTCCCATTTTGTCCCGTTATACCAGTCTGTACTCTTCATGACTTTTTCACCATTTTCATCATTATCTTCACTTCTTTTAGATTTATAGTTTAGAATGAAGAAGGAGGGATAACATTTCTAAAATTATCGGACATTTTCTAATTACATCGTTCCCACACAAGCTCTAAACCTCCGGCGACAGTAAACATTGCTACGCTTTCACGGAAACATATTTCTAACACATCCCATTCTAGTTTTAGAACCCAGAGCCTGTTTCCTTCTGAGCAATGATTATAGCGAAGTTATGGTTTTAAATAGGGGATATTTTTTTCACTCATCTCATCTCATCAGCAATTTTCAAACGAGCTTTACACTTATGGATGTCACAGGGCATTAGATTCCTTCCTTCTGACTCCATGTTGTTTCTCTCTCTTTTTATCTCTCTATTTATATATGTCTATTTATCTATCTGTCTATCTATCTATCTGTCTATCTATCTATCTGCCCATTTATCTATCTGTCCATTTGTCTGTCTGTCCATTTATCTATCTGTCCATTTATCTATCTGTCCATTTATCTATCTGTCCATTTATCTATCTGGCCATTATCTATCTGTTTATCTATCTGTCCATTTATCTATCTGTCGCATTTATTATCTGTCCATTTATCTATCTGTCCATTTATCTATCTGTCCATTTATTTATCTATATATTGTCCATTTATATCTGTCTATCTTTCTATCTGTCCATATTTATACATGTGTCTGTCTGTCCATCTATCTGTCCATTTATCTATCTGTTTATCATCTACCTATCTGCCTGTCTGTCTATTTGTCTATCTGTCTATCTTTCTATCTGTCTAAATATTTATCCATCTGCCTGTCTGTCCATTTATCTATCCGTCTATCTATCTATCTGCCTGTCTGTCTATTTGTCTATCTGTCTATCTTCTATCTTTCTATGTCCAAATATTTATCCATCTGCATGTCTTTCCATTTATCTATCTATCCACTATTTGTCTATCTGTCTATCTTTCTATCTGTCCGAATATTCATCCATCTGCTTGTCTGTCTATTTGTCTATCTGTCTATCCATCTATTCCACCATTATTAACAGAGGTATTTGTATACCTATATGCCTCCACATAATCTTTCTCTAACCCAACTCCACTCTATCGATACAAACCTTTTAAAACTTACACATCACGGCACTCCTTCCATCCTTTTATCTTAAGTTTGGAAATTCTCTTAAAACTTCTGTCTTGCTTTTATTTTTTTGTAACCGATATATAAAAGAGCAGGTCCACTTTCTCTAAGATAAACAGCACGCGAATATTGTATCTATTTTCGTTCGCTCGAATATAGAACTTAACCACCGGTGCGTGTGTTATCTCTGTTTTCTGTCTATTTATATTCTTTTCTCCGTGTTAGAGAGAGAAAGAGAGAGGGATAGGGAAGTAAAGAATGAAGGAGGAGAGAAAAAAAGAGAGGAGGAGATGAACAGATAGATGATAGATAGATAGACAGAGAAGAACGAGAAGAAGGGGAAGAGGAAGAGGGAGAGGGAAAGAAAAAGATAGAGAGAAATGGAGAGGGAGAGAGAGTGGGAGAGGAAGAGGAAGTGGAGAGGCAACGGAGGCGGATAGAGAGATAGAAAATGAGAGAGAAGAGGTGAAAGCGAGAGGGATAGGTAGATAAATATATAAGGAGAGAGGCAGTCGAACAGATAAACAGAAAAAGAGAGAGAAATGGAAGAAGTGAGGGATAACAAATTTTATTTCTTATATATATATATATATATATATATATATATATATATTATTATTTTTTTTATTAGTTTCAATTGCATTTGTAATACATATGCTTTTGTGTATGTGTGTGTCTGTATCTGTGTGTGGGGGGGGGGGGAGGGAATGAAGTGGTTATGTGGTTTTCCTTTTTCCTCTCATTTATTTATTTTGTTGTTTTCGCTATTCCCCCTTTTATCTGTGCTTTTACGCGTTTTTCTTTTATCTATCTCATTTTTCCTCTTCTTCCTATCTATTATTTAAATACCGAAACAGAAATAAATCTAATCGAGGTCTTAATTACATACCGAGTGTAATTACAAAATGAGCACCAGTGTATGTCAGAATCACGTCTGCGAGAATAATTATAATAATTAATTGGTCTCATTCTCTTCTTAATTACCCTCCCTTTATCGCAATGAATAAAGGGCACATGGCAACGCATAGAAAGTGTTGCCATATGATGCTCTCATTAAGCATTTTATGTATTTGGTGTGTGTGTGTGTGTGTGTGTGTGTGTGTGTGTGTGTGTGTGTGTGTGTGTGTGTGTGT